ATCTGCCTATATCTTGTTTATCTCCGTTGCATTCTGACTTTCCGATCGATGTCTGCAGTGTTTCAGTTCTCACGTGAGATGCATGTGAGCGTTGTATCTATTGAAAATGCATTGCCGGGTGAGAATAGAATTGATCCTTGCATGTTCCTGCCTATTAATCATGATTACGCGTTGAACGCAACGCAGTTATACGTTATTACGGCCTCGCTCTTGGTGATTCGCTAGTACGACAGTATCCTTGCTGCATAACAATACTGAATTCACAGAATCAAGGTTTTGCGGAAATAGATGTTCTCAGCTAATATTGGATGGATTACTCCAAAAGGACTGAAAGAAAAGTCTATCCTCCTATTTAATTCTAATTTATTGATACTGTCGCTTCGGGTCATGGAATCGAGTGCACAAATGTTAAATCCTGACTCTTACGACTTGACCAAAAGCCAGCAGTGTTTGCATTGCATGATGTCTATTCTGTGGACATATTTGCGTTCTTAAATAAATCGTATCACCTGATGACGAGAAACTATTTCTGACACTTCAGGCAGACGCCTTGAAGTATGCTGAGATTGAACTAACCGAGTCCACGTTTTGTTGCCATACGACAGCACTGTCGTTGTGGACGTATGGCAAGTTCAGAGCGTAATTCATGTCTTAAGGCTGAGTAGGTCCAGTTATTGCGGATCAGTGCAAAGTCAAGGCGGATTTCAGGTTTAGATTGATGTAAGTGACTGAAGAGGGTAACCGAGCCCCCATTGCAACTCATTTATCAGTCCGCCTGTGAGGAGACACCAGGTAATATCCATCTCTTAATGGTTTTGGCTTTCTTTCATCGCATTTATGTTTCAGCAGCACCCTACCCTTTTGCAGACTGTCTTCATTGAACGGCAGAAACACAGAGTGCGTGTTGTTATACAGTCGTGTTGCCCAGATATGGGCATTCACCTGATCATGAGTAGTACTTTGACTAGTAAGTAGTCCTTTTTATTCGGTCGATTAAACAGTGACAGCCTTCGCTTCTACCGTAATGACGGAAAGGAGACAATCACCAGCCTACTTCAAACTTTCTGTTTGTATCGTTGTCCGCGTACTTGACGACGGTTATTACAAACAGTTGCGGGTGGCGCGTTTACAAGAACTCAATGTGAAGTATAATGTTCATTAACTTTCTGGACCTTTAGTAGATTTCGTGTGTCACCATCAATTTCTAGTCAGCGCTTTTAGATTGTGTATTGCTAATATTTCGCTCTTTGAGTTAGTTTCCATGATAATAATGTACTCACTTTTTATGAGGCGCGGTTCTTATTTCTGTTTGTGCTTTTCAGTTTCAGCCATACATCCTCAAAGTTATCCCTCTACTTCGCAGTCCTGCGTTGCCGGGCCATCATCGTTGATGGCAGGTAATGCGTATCCTTTTGGTAAATGAAAATATTCTGTGCTAGCAGGTTCTGGCTTTGATCCATGATTTCAGATGACCGAGCACCGCCATACTTTTTATCCGGTTTTCCTGATCAGGAACGGTTTCATCCGCAGACATCTGTCGTCAGTGCTGGAGCCGCCGTCGCTTCGCAATACGTGACGCCATCAACAGAGACAGTGACCGGACGGACGTCAGTAGGTGGTAAGTTTGACCTCAGTCACCTCAGCGTCGACGTTATTTTATGTTGTAAATCAATTTGTATCTTAGCTTCGGTATCCACGGAGGCATTCGTTTCATGCAATCCAGCAGTTGGCATTCCATCTCAGGTTCATCCGTATCCGCCGTACTCATTATACGTTGGCGGATTTAATGCGCGGCAGCAGTTCACGCCTGCCGGTATCGTGTTGTGGCTAATTACGTCACTAATTAGATGTTATGCAGTTTCAGGCTATAGAGCCACTTTTCCGATACCTTCCGAAAACGTAATGGCCGTAGCCGCCCTTGGTTCAGTATCTTCAACGGCACCATTTCCAACTGTCTCGTACCAGCCATGTGTTCGGCCAGGCCAGACTGTTTCAACCTATAACTCTTCTTTTCTTCTACCTACCCAAAGCGTCGGAGTCACAGATGTGCCGAATTCATTTTTATCATCGCCATCCAGGCCACCCATGTCGCATCAGGCGTATACTTCGCGAAGCATACCTTATGGTAGCATGTCTGTGGAACCAGGTAAGGTTTCGAAAATGGATCGCGCCAGTTCGAAATTAGAAAAACGTTTTCCTTCACTTAACTATAATTTATTATCGTCTTCTGTGTACCTTCGTTTAAGCATCTAGTCGTGAAATACATTTTGCTCTTATAAACTTTGAAATTAGTACACCTTCCGTCTGAAAAGAAACTTTTTGTAATTTTTATGAACCGTGCAGTAAAAGTGAGCCTCTACAAAATTTAACATCCACTTGGACCAACTTTTGAAATGTGACTCTGTTATCCATTTTGTGGATTAACTCCATAAATTTCAGAACTCCTGTGCTCTTCAAACTGTAACGCAGAGGTATTCGAGAGTATAGTCTTATTTGCTCGTATGGAACTGATTAAAAGAGCAGTTAGAAGGTCGATCACAAATAAATTCAACGCAAACAGATTCGACAATATGATGTTCTGATGCTCCAGTTGTGCCGAGGTTAACGAAACATTGTTGTTATATTTATCAAGGGTGGTATTGCTTGAACAGTGATATTGCTCAGATTGGCGATGTTCGAATGTCGCGTAGTTATTTGATAATATCTTACCAAGGATTTTTTTGCGTCCGGTTTCACTGATTTTATGATTGTATTGCAAGTTTTTGCTTGAATGATGTTTTGATTTAAACTTTCTGTTTCAGTGACAGGCATAATGTCGCAGTGTCGCACTCCACCGCAAGCTGATAGACGTGGGCCGCTAAATATCATGTCATGTTACAGCGAGGCTAACGTTCAGAATCCACCACACAGTGTCTACGGGTATGAACAAAATCGTTTCATTGGTGGTGCTGTTTCTCATGGAACCGGAGATTTGGCGCCAGGCACATTTATCACGGCGCCGATACCTGCCGCAGTTGCCAGTGATCAAAGTTATGCCGTTCCCGCTCAGTTTATTCCTGCCCCCAATCAGCCATACTACGGTGAACCTGTGTCATATGTTCATCCTCGTCTTGTTTCTTTGTTTGGACAAGCTGGTAGCAGCAATGACGGCGGAGGCGGCACAGTGCCGCAGCTGGACGAAATAACAGTAAGCTTCTGCTGTTGGCACAAGGTTGTGTTGTTGCAATGTAA